ACTCGGAGTCTATGGTGGGTAATTGAACGTAGTGAATTTAGGCGAGGGTTCTCCGAACCCGCCTATTCACATAGTTCATACCCACCATAGACTCCGAGTCCCCCCCAACCTCCCCACTCTTCCCGTCGAGTTGGTCTAAGTCCTCGAGGCGAAGAGAAAGGAACCAGAGTGATGGACGGCTACTTATGGCGTTGCCATGTGGCCTCGATCATGTTGGTTCGTGACGTTAGGGGTAAAAGAATCTTGAGGTCATGGGGCTTCTATCTCTCCGTCATCGCTGATTAATGCCTGCAGTTCAAAATAGTCATTTTGGCTGACCGGAGTCTATGGTGGGTATGAACTATGTGAATAGGTGGGTTTGGAGAACCCTCGCCTAATTTTGGGCATAGCTATAAAATGTGTCACCGAAGTACTCACACATGTGCATGATTCCAATAGTTTGTGCTGTGAAGAAACTCCATTCGAAAATAAGTATTGTGGAATTTGTAGTGAGAATGTATTTAAATAGATTTATGTTTATAAATCTTGTTTCTTTTCAAAGTGTATTTATATATTTAAAAATTGTTTATAAAAATGTTCTTTATACTTTTTCGATGGATTGAATTTACAAATGATGAGTTATTTTGTTATACCATCACTCGAATTATGTGTTACGAATTTCTGATAGTTTAGGCTTTGTGTTCTTGCGAACGGGAAGACATTAAACTGTTGAACAGTAGACAACGATAAAAGCGAAAGTATTTCGAAATTTGTGAAATCATGGTACTGTTTTGGCATTATACGACTTGCAGCTCCCTTTTGATCGATTTTATGTGACTGGCCATGTTATCGAACTGTAGTATTATGTAAATCTGCCCCGGAAAATTTAAATTGCCATTTTCACGCTGTGTTTAGCGTGGAGTCGTCATCTAAGTACGCACAATTGTTAATCTCGTGTTCCCAGGTGCATTTATAAATCCCTTTTGAATTTGGGGGACTTTGTGTGACTGACCGTGGTGTTTGTAAACTTTAGTCGAACTGTAGTAGTGTGTAAATCTGCCACAACATAGGGTTGCCATCTTCTCTCATTTAAATACGTTTGTGCCTCAACAAGGACTGAAAAATGATTTCCATTTACTTCGTCTGTTATAAATCAACTGTGTTAGATTCCTTCGAACTTTCTATTGCCATCGGGATTATGTCTACTACACTCGGCGGTGTAGTTCGTATCGATGTTCTTGTATGAAACGCACCCGAACCTGGAAATCGACGGCAAATCGGGATGGTCTCGTCACGTAATTTCTTACCTTGTTCTTTACCGCAGTACGCTTGGCTATGAACTTCCACATACCCACGCTTATGGGATTATTTATTTTATTTATTTATTCAACGCTAAAACGAACTACAGTGAGTTGTTCTATGGTCATATAACAGCGATTTGGCTGTGACCATGCATTTAGTCATTGTCAACTGTTTTTCTCGAATTGGTTGATTGTCATAGCAACATACGATAAGTACAATTAAACGACTAGTCCGGAGCTGAACAGTATTCATTTCTAACATGATTATTCAATTTAGTTTAATTCCTTCAGTTAAAAATCGAGTTTCCAAAATAAATAAATAATACATACCCTCATACCTTCATTGCCTTTCTGTCTGTTCGTCAATCCATTGCTCCAAAACACACCTTTAAAACTCTTATTTTCCAAGCATCGAGATGGCTCTGCCAACTCTTGTTCATGTTAGGGACTACGTGACAGGGTTGTGTGATCATCTTTGTATCATAATGGCTTTATGGCAATTTAATGTGATATCCTGGCATCAACCAAATCTGGTCCCACACAAGCATTGGCTCCAAGTTGCAGGTGAATTCAAAGGAATAATGTTTAAGTTATATATGTACATGTACATACTTACATGTAACTGAAAAAAGTTGGACTGCTCGTTGTCTAAAATTCCATAAAGTGATGCTAAAATCATACAAGTATGTTGTGCTGTCTTATTTGCAGGGTTTCATGACTAAGAAAGGACACAAGATGACAACATGGAAAGAACGGTGGTTTGTTCTAAAACCAAGAAGTTTGAGCTACTACACAGGAAGAGATATGAAAGAACAGAAAGGAGAAATCAAACTGACATCGTCATGGAAAGTTGAAGTGAGTGCAGCCTGAATAAATATTAAATCTTTGAATGGCAGCTCTAGCTATACATGCTACAGTAACTGTAAACCGTTCTACTTGTATAGGAGACAAATTGCCACAACTTGAGGGAAAAGTAATTGAGAATTTCTCACTGATTATGTCATAAATGAAGTTAAGTTTATTTTCAGGGATTGTCGGACAAAAGTGGTAAAAATAGACTGGTCTTGCACACTGATGCATCTAAAGATAGTAAAACAAGATATGAAATGAATGCCCCGGACCCCAGGACTAAGCAAGAATGGATTACAGGTACCTATATCTTTCTTAAGTGTAAGAACACTGGAGATAAAAATACACCGGCCCACCCAGTCGTTTCTGAAAGAATTGAAAATCACCTGTGGAGACCACAAACAGATCTTTTCAATTTAGAAACCATTCTTGTTATCCAAGCTGTTGTATACATTATTTTTGAAAAAATTTGAAATGTCTGAGAAATTGATCAGGATTTTCTTTCCAGCAGTGATTTTCAACATTTAATTAAGATGGATTACTTTCTCATTTTGCAAATGAATATTTCTATCTGTGAAATCATTAATAATTGATTTGTTTATTACAGCATTATCATCTGTTATTGATGCTGCAGATGGTAATTTGTCTCCGCAAAAAATAGAATTTGTCAAACGAAGACAGAGCAGGTATGGAAGAAGAAAAAAGAATGAGGAGGAACAAAAAAGAAGAAAAGAGGAGAGTGAAAAGATGGCAAGACAAAAAGAAGAACTAGAAAATGAAAAAGCGGTGCGTCTTAAGCTGTTACCCATGGTGCATTGTGGTAATAATATAACCCATAGTGCATTGTGGTAATAGTATAACCCATAGTGCATTGTGGTAATAGTATAACCCATAATGCATTGTGGTGATAGTATTACCCATAGTGCATTGTGGTAATAGTATAACCCATAATGCATTGTGGTGATAGTATTACCCATAGTGCATTGTGGTAATAGTATAACCCATAATGCATTGTGGTGATAGTATTACCCATAGTGCATTGTGGTAATAGTATAACCCATAGAGCATTGTGGTGATAGTATTACCCATAGAGCATTGTGGTAATAGTATTACCCATAGTGCATTGTGGTGATAGTATAACCCATAGTGCATTGTGGTGATAGTATTACCCACAGTGCATTGTGGTAATAGTATAACCCATAGAGCATTGTGGTAATAGTATAACCCATAATGCATTGTGGTGATAGTATAACCCATAGAGCATTGTGGTAATAGTATAACCCATAATGCATTGTGGTGATATTATTACCCATAGTGCATTGTGGTGATAGTATAACCCATAATGCATTGTGGTGATAGTATTCCCCATAGTGCATTGTGGTGATAGTATAACCCATAGTGCATTGTGGTAATAGTATAACCCATAGAGCATTGTGGTAATAGTATAACCCATAATGCATTGTGGTGATAGTATTACCCATAGTGCATTGTGGTGATAGTATTACCCATAGTGCATTGTGGTAATAGTATAACCCATAGAGCATTGTGGTGATAGTATTACCCATAAAGCATTGTGGTAATAGTATAACCCATAGAGCATTGTGGTGATAGTATTACCCATAGTGCATTGTGGTGATAGTATTACCCATAGAGCATTGTGGTGATAGTATTACCCATAGTGCATTGTGGTGATAGTATTACCCATAGTGCATTGTGGTAATAGTATTACCCATAGTGCATTGTGGTAATAGTATAACCCATAGTGCATTGTGGTATAGTATAACCCATAGAGCATTGTAGTACCGTATAGTATAACC